TGTAGTTCAAGTGGTAGAACGCTTGCCTTGAGCTGAAGAGCTGAGGGACAGAGCCCAGGCCCAGAGTTCAAGCCCCACGACCGACAAAAAAAAAAAAAAAAAAAAAATCTCAGGTTCAAGGCTGGGGATGTCATTCTGTTTTTGTTTTTCCTGGTCCTGAGGTTTGAGGCCTGAGCTACTTTTGTGCTCAAGGCTAGCGCTCTACCACTTGAGCCACAGTACCCCTTCTGGCTTTTTCTGAGTGGTTCACTGGAGGTAAGAATCTCATGGACTTTTCTGCCCAGGCTGGCTTCAAACTATGATGCTCAGATCTCAGTCTTCTGGTGAGTCAGGCCTGTAATCCTAGCTACTTGAGAAGCTGAGATCAGGAAGATCTCAGTTCGAAGCCAGCCCAGGCTTCGAGAGGTGTGGTGGCACACATCTATGACCCGAGTTATGATGGGGAGCCTCACAATAGGCACTGTCCCCAGCATGTGCTTGGACAGGCAGTGAGACTCTCTCCCCAAAATAACCACTGTAGGTGTGGCTCAGTGGGAAGAATGCATGCCTAGTAAGCATAAGGCCCCAAGTTCAAACCCTAGTACTACCAAAGTAAGTAAACATGTAAACAGAAATATTACTGGAGTTGGAGTGTAGCAAGTATACAGCACTTGCCTAACATATACAACACACTAAGTTCAGTACCCAGGACCTCAAATATAAATTACTTTAACAATAATAAAAGCCAGGCACTGGTGGTTCATACCTATAATCCTAGCTCCAGGAGACTGAGATCTGGGGATAGCTGGTTAAAACTATCTCAGGCAAGAAAGTCCTGTGAAACTCTTATCTTCAATTAACCAGCAGAAAACCAGAAATGGTACTATGACCCAAAGTGCTAGTCTTGAGGGAAAAAGCTCAGGGACAGAGCCCAGGCCAGAGTTCAAGCCCCACAACTGACCAGACAAAATAATAAAGACAGCAAGTAAATAAACTTTAGAGGCATAACTTGGACAGATATTTGTACACCCATATTTATAGCAGCATTATTCACAATTGTCAACAGGTGAGCTCAAAATGCATCTCCCCTCCCCATTGATAAATGGATAACAAAAGGTGAATGAAACATTATTCAAACAAAATATTATTCAGAGCTGGGCGCCAGTGGCTCAAGCCTGCAATCCTAGCTACAGACGAGGCTGAGAACTGAGGATCACGGTTCAAAGCCAGCCTGGGCAGGAAAGTCCGTGAGACTCTTATCTCCAATTAACCACTAGAAAACCAGAAGTGGTGCTGTGGCTCAAGCGGCGGAGTGCTCGCCTTGAGCTGAAGAGCACAGGGACAGTGCCCAAGTCCAGAGTTCAAGCCTCATGACCGACCAAAAAAAAAAAAAACTTCTCAAAAGTCTGATACATGCTACATAATGTAGATAAAACCTGAAGACATTTTTTTTTAGTGAAGCAAAAGCCACAAGAGGGAAAACATTTTACAATTCTATTTTGATGAGCTATCTAGAGCAGTTAAGTACATGGAGACAGAAAGTAGGATGGTAAGCTGGGTGCTAGTGGCTCACACCTGTCATCCTAGCTACTTGGCAGGCTAAGAGCTGAGGATCACAGTTCAAAATCAGCCCAGGGAGGAAAGTCCATAAGACTCTTATCTATAATAAACTATTCAGAAAAGCCAGAAGTGGAGCAGGCTCAAGTGGTAGAGTACTAGCCTTGAGCACAAAGAAGCTCAGGAACAGCTCCCAAGCCCTGAGTTCAAGCCCCAAGACCAGCAACAACAAAAATAAAATGAGCAAGTGCCAGCGGCTCAGGCTTGTAATCCTAGCTATCAGGAGGCTGAGCTCTCAGTTTGAAGCTAGCCCAGGCTGTGAAATCCGAGAGCCCTCTCCTGCCAAGTACTGGGACTTGAACTTGGCCTCACAGATTTCTCACTCGAGGTTGGCACTCTATCATTTGAGCTAAACCTCCACTTCTGGCTTTCTGCTAGTTATTTGAAAATAGAAGTCTCCCTGATTTATCTGCTTGGGCTGGCTTTGACCCTTGATCCCTAGAGCTCAGCCTCCTGAGTAGTTAGGTTTACAGGTATGAGCTACATTAGCCTGGCTCTATGAGACTTTTTTCTCCATCTAACCAGCAAAATGCCAGATTGGAGGTGTGACTCAAATGACTCGTAGAGTGCCAGCTGTGAGCAAGAAAGCTGAGCAAGAGGAGTTTGAGGCACCAGGACCACTACCACCAGCAGCAGCAGCAACAAAACAAGAAAATACCCCAAACTTCAGGTCTAAGATGATCTTAAAGGAATTACCTTTCTTCCTTTTCTTCACTAGTGCTGGGATGGAATCTAAGACCTTGGAACACTAGGCAAGGACCTAGACTTCCAAACTTCATCCTGAGAGAAGTTAATGTCTCCCCACTCAGTCACACACATGTTGAAAGGCTGAAATAACGTGTATGCAAGTGACCAGTTCTTCTGTAACCAGTGGTACACACGGTAGCCATCTCTGAAGCTGGCTCCTAGCACACACACCCTGGGCCCTGCAGCCTCCTGTCCTGAACCAGCAGGCTCTGCCTAACGGACAGACAGCAGTAGGAGGAGGGATGCTGTGTGGAGGCCGAGGCCAGGTCACAGCTGTATAACTCTGTCTTACCTTCTCTGTGGTAACTGAGGCATACTGAAGCATATCTACCCAGATGCTTCAGGCTTGAATACATGGAAAGGCTTCCAGATGTTCTAGCCCAATTATGAGGCATGGGTAAAGAAGCCATCCTGGGCTGGGAAGGTGACTCAGTGGTAGAGCGCTTGCCTTGCATGCATGAGATCTTGGGTTCGATTCTTCAGCACCACATAAGCAAAAACGAAAAAAGCCGGAAGTGGCGCTGTGGCTCAAGTGGTAGAGTGCTAGCCTTGAGCTGAAGAGCTGAGGGACAGCGCCCAGGCCCAGAGTTCAGGCCCCACGACCGACCAAAAAAAAAAAACAACAAAAAAAAGAAGCCGTTGGGCTGGGAAGGTGGCTCAAGGGGTAGAGTGCTAGCCTTGAGGTGAAGAGCTGAGGGACAGCGCCCAGGCCTAGAGTTCAGGCCCCATGACCGACCAAAAAAAAAAAAAAAAGAAGAAGCCGTCCTGACATCCACTTCCACCTGTCATCTGATTACAAGCACATCAGAACTTCCAAAGAAGTTGGCAGTTGAGCACAGCCAAGCCATAGAAGACAACTGTTTGAAATCAGTTTTGGCCTATTTGTCTGTTACTGGCCTATTTGTCTGTTACTAAACAGAACAGTATTCAATATTATCAACTGGGAATATTCCTTGGGATCTTTCTTTATTTCTCAGGCATGCAAAGTACTCATTACAAACGTGTGCACATGTGCATTTGTGTAGAAAGAGAGAGAGAGAATGTGCCTTCCACCTACCTTGAACGATCGTTTCTCCATCATAGTGTCACTACGACAGTTGGTGGTGTTGAACTGCAGCTTAGAAGGGTCACCTTCTCTGAACCATGAAGGGACCAAGCCCCATCGCATGAGAGCAATGACCCGCTCTGACGAGTCTGAGTCCTGCCACAGAAAAGACGTTAATATCAAGAACACCATCTGAAATTTAAAAAAGCAAACTTAGTACATGTACTACACTGTCACTACTGTTGAAATGCAAAGACTACAAGATGATTCAATGGGAAAGGGTCATCTAGGCATGGGGCTCAGGCCTATAATCCCAGCACTAGAAAGGTAGAGGCAGAAGTAGTGCAAATTCAAAGACAGCCAGGGCTTACAGTAAGACCCTATGTTAAAAACCAAACCACAGGGCTGGGAATGTGGCTTAGAGGTGGAATGCTTGCTTACCACGTGTGAGACCTCGGTTCAATACCTCAAAACCACATAAACAGAAAAGGCCAGAAGTGGTACTGTGGCTTAAGTGGTAGAGTGCTGGCCTTGAGCAAAAGCAGCTCAAGGACAGTGCCCAAGTCTTGAGTTCAAGCCCAGGACAAAAACAAAGAACAAAAAAACACAGCCTAGTACCAGTGGCTCTCGCCTATAATCCTAGCTACTTAGAAGGCTGAGATCTGAGAATTCTGGCACAAAGATAGTCCAAACAGACAAATCCAAGAGACTTTTTTTTTTTTTTTTTTTGCTGGTCCTAGGGCTTGAACTCAGGGCCTGGGTGCTGTCCCTGAGCCTCTTTGTGCTGAAGGATAGCACTCTATTACTTGAGCCCAATTGTCACTTCTGGCTTTTTCTGAGTAGTTTATTGTAGATAAGCGTCTCACAGACTTTCCTGCCTGGGCTGGCTTCAAATCACGATTCTCAGATCTCAGCCTTCTCAACAACTAGGATTACAGGCGTGAGTTACAAGCACCTGGCTTCAAAGAGACTGTTATCGCTAATTAAAGAGCTGAAGCTGGAAACGGAGACGTGGCTCAAGTGGTAAAAGGCTAGCTGTGAGTGAAAAAATGAGGGCTCAAGGCCCCAGAGTACATTAGCAAGAAAAGCAACAAACAAACAAACAAGTAAGCTTGGGTACTGATGGCTCACTGCTGTCATCCTAGCTACTCAGGAGGCTGAGATCTGAGGATCTCGGAAGCCAGCCTGGGCAGAAAAGTCCGTGAGACTCTTAAACTCAAATACTCAGAAAATGTGGTACTCAAGTGGTAAAGTGCTAGCTTTGAGCACAAAGAATCTCAGGGACAGTACCTAGGCCCTAAGTTCAAGTCCCAGGACCAGCAAAGTAAAACAAAGAAACAGAAAAAAAAAAAAAAAAGAAGGGAAGCCTAGTTAAAAAACAGCTTTAAGCCAGCACTGGTAGCTCACACCTATAATCCTAGCTACTCAGGAGGCTGAGATCTGAGGATCACCATTCAAAGCCAGGTTGGGCAGGAAAGTCCAAAAGACTCTTATCTCCGATTAACCACCAGAAAAAAAAAACAAAACTGGAAGTGGCGCTGTGGCTCAAGTGGTAGAGCAACTGCCTTGAGCTGAAGAGCTGAGGGACAGAGCCTGGGCCCCAAAGTTCAAGCCCTAAGACCAACAATAAATAAATAAACAGGGCTGGGAAGGTGGCTCAGTGGTAGAGTGCTTGCCTTGCATGCATGAGGCCCTGGGTTCGATTCCACAGCACGACATAGCAGAAAAAGCTGGAAATAGGGCTGATGCTCAAGTGGTAGAGCGCTAGCCTTCAGCTGAAGAGCTGAGGGACAGCGCCCAGGCCCAGAGTTCAAGCCCTGCCCAACAACAACAACAAAAAGAAAGGAATCAACAACGGCAATATCTCAGAAAGATTTCCTTTTGTTTACACACAACCCCTCCATTGTGCTCCTTATAAAACTCACCCTATTTCCTTCAGTACCCACTAATTCCCAATTCCCTTCACTCACAAACATCCTTATTTGCAGAGGTTCCTATAAATTCCCTCCTTTTTTTGTGGTGGCCCTCCTCAGGCTTGAATTCAAGCCTGGGCACTGTCCCTGCGCTTCATTTGCTCAAGGCTATCACTCTACCACTTGAGCCACAGCTCTACTTCTGGCCTTTTGATGGTTAATTGGAGATCAGACTTAGGGACTTTCCTGCCTGGGCTGGCTTCAAAGCAAGATCCTCAAATCTCAGCCTCCTGTGTAGTAAGGATTATAGCTGTGAACCACTGGCCGCCGGCCTATTGGTCTCTTTTAACTCAAGTGTGTTCACTGGACAATTGTAAACCAAATCCAAAGGTGAGAGCCAGGGACACAATATAGATGAGAGGTCAAAATACTGAAAAAATTGCTTAGCATAAGTCATCTTTGCCACTGTCCTTAAGGTAGAAAATGAAAGAGGAAGTAATTTGCAAATCAGTGGTTTTCAATGCAAATTTGCAATCTATACTGGAGATGGCCGTTGGGATTTGGATGAATGAACTGCTGAAATGCTTCTAATTTTTATAATTTACAGGTTTGAGAAAAAGTATCAAATTAAGAAACCAAGCAATTCTTTTTTCTTTTTTTGTCACTATTGGAGCTTGAACTCAGAATGTTGGAATCTCAGCTTCCTTGCTCACAGCTGTATTCTACCACTTAAGTCACATCTCTAGTTTGGCTTTTTGCGGTTAATTGGGAAATAAAGTCTCTCAGACTTTTCAGCCTAGGCTAGCTCTGAACTGGGATCCTTGTGCTCTCAGCTTACTGCATAGTTAGGATTAATGCTTGAGCCATTAGCTACCTGAATAAACCCTAGCCATTGTAACAAAACTTATTACAGACCTATAGTCAAACACAACTTCAGCAAATCCATACCACTGACACAGTCTTGGGCTGTTTGGGAGACCAACTTTCTCTCCTCAAGGTTCCAATATCTTTTTATGGAGTGAGGAGACTGCTGGACCTGTCTCAATTGTCAACCACTTATATGGCAAGTCACAATCTTCCTGTATTTCTTATCAGGGGCTTGGACTCAGGGCCTAGGCGCTGTCCCTGAGTTTCTTTTGCTCAAGGCTGGCGCTCTTAGCACTTGACAACAGTGTCACTTCCAGACTTTTCTGTTTATGTGGAACTGAGGAATCGAACCCAGGGCCTCATGAGTGCTAAGGCAAGTGCTCTATTACTGAGCCACATTCCCAGCCCATGTTGTCTTTTTTTTTTTTTTTTTGGGTCCGGTCGTGGGGCCTGAAGTCTGGGTCTGGGCGCTGTCCCTCAGCTCTTCAGCTCAAGGCTAGCGCTCTACCCCTTGAGCCACAGCGCCACTTCCGGCTTTTTTCTTTTTGCTTATGTAGTGCTGAGGAATCGAACCCAGGGCCTCAGGCATGCAAGGCAAGCGCTCTACCACTGAGCCACCTTCCCAGCCCCCA